TGGGAGTGTGAGGGAGGGATAGGGGCACAGGCAAGGGATTGAAACCTGGGGAAGGGATGGGGGTACAGGTAAGGGATGGGGTCATGAGAAAAGGAAAGGATTGTGGAGAAGAGGTGGGAAACAAGGGAATGGTATCTTGGGGAAGGGATGGGATTGAGGGGAAGGGTGATCATGCAGAGAGGAAAGGAATCCCTCCACAGGGAAGGGATGGGATTGAGGGGAAGGGATGGGATGCTGGGAAGTGCCACAGAGAATTGATGCAGCTTTGGGATAGGGCTGGGAGGGAGCTGCTCCCCCATCACACACAGGGATGGTGCCGTGGAGGCAGAACACGATGGAGACGGGATTGTGCCTCAGGGATGGGAACACGGGACTGCACAGAGCAGCCCCCCAGGCACTGGTGCTGCAGCAGAGATTCAAACGGGAAGGAACCTCCCAGGGACAGCATTTTGTTTGAGAGCCAAGCCCATCCCAGTAACTCCATGGACACGGAGGCAGCGCCAGCACAGCTGCATCCTGCTACACCCAAACCTGGATGGAAACCCAGCAGAGACAGCCCAGAGGCTGCCAGGGCTCAGGGTGGGCACTGCTGTCCCCACAGTCCAGGGGCTCTCCAGGTCAGTCACAGCGGCACCAGGCCATGAGTTCAGCCAAGATTTAGGATGGAATTTAAGAACCGATCTAAGAATTATCCTGGTTTTGGTAGAGTCACCACCTGAGTCCTGACAGGTTCATTACACCAATGGGTGCACTCAGTGTCACTTATGGCATGTCCCTGTCCTCTGTCCCCCCTGGATCCCAACATCTGGCTGTCCCCACGTGTCCCACACTGGCACTCCAAGTATCCAAGGGCCACCCAAACCTGGGCTGGTGGCCATTCCCTCAGCCCTGGCCCTGCCACCTACCCCTTGGTGAGGGGGGCTGCTTAAATTTGTGGGGTTTGGGGTTTTTTCCTCTCCTCAAATAAAAAATAAGTCACTTTCCTGGGATCATGGCAGTCACTCAGCTGTACCACAAGTGTGAAGGGATGTCCCAGGGGACATGGCCACCTCTCTCTGAAGCTCCTCTCTCTGTCCCTTGGAAAGATCAGTGAAACCACAGGGCTGCATCCTGTCCTGATTCCCTCTGCAGCCAGGGTGAATTCCTCCCAAAAATAGCAATTCCTGTGAAAAAGCAAATCAAAGAGATGCCTATGGTGCTCTCCCAGCTTCACCAAATGCTGGTGGATGCTCCAGCCCAGCAGGAGCTGAGCTGGCCATAAAGGGGG